CAGGTGTCAATGTGTAGCACCCAGGGGTTAATGGAATGGTTGCCCGCGTCCAGCCCTGCACTGGATGTAACAATTGGTGGCACTCAGGGGAACTTGTGCAAATGGCTTGTTATCTGAGGAGAGAAAGATGGTCCAGGGACTGGGAGAGTGAAACTGGGGTATGCGACTGGGAAGCCGGGAAAGGAGGAATTGTTATCGGGGCATCAAAGAGGAAGGAAGCAATGGTTGGGGTGGAGAAGGAAGGGTTGATCTCACTGGCACTATGACACATTCCAAGTGGAAAACAGCAGGATTCCAGGTCTGAACAGAGGTTGGGGGATTTAGTGTGTTTAAACCCCAGACTCTGCAGCCTAGTCCCAGGCACCCTTGAGATGCAATAGGGATTAAACCCTGTATCATATAGGGCCATTTTGTCCCATGCTGACAGCGGATACATTTGAGAATCAAACCTTCTTTTTATCAGTAGAGCTAAGCTACTGTTATATGGTCGGTGAAGAGACGTCCCTAGCCATTTTGGTGCCCTACGCAGCCTCACCGCGGGGGGGGAGGGGGGGCTGTGTGGGGCCCCAGTCCTCCGCGGGGGGGTACTGTTCCTAGAGATCCATGGGGGGTGGGGTGGGCTGGCCCTAGGCCTCCATGGGGGGGAGGGGAGCTGGCCCCTTCCTGAGAGAAGTGGAGTGACCCGGCCCCAGCCTGCTCTGCTCCCCTGGCTCCCAGGATTGGGGGCAGGGGGGACCCGCCCCCCAGCACTTACAGGCGGCACGGCTGGGAGCCAGGGGAATGGAGTAGGCTGGGGACAGGTCACTCTACATACCACCGCCGGTGAGTGCAGGGAGCCAGACCCCTCCTGCAGTCCTCAGGGGAAGGGGAAGGGCTGGCTGGAGTGGGGGCAGGGTTGGGTTGGAGCAGGGGTGGGAAGAGGCAGGGCTGGGGCAGAGCAGGGGCAGGGGCCATTTGGAAGAGGTGGAGCAGGGGCTGAAGCAGCAAGCAGCTGCGTAGGACAGCAGGAAATTTGGTGCCCCAAATTTCCTGGTGCTCTACGCAGATGCGTATGGGTAGGGACGGCCCTGGTCAGGGAATGTAGCATGTTAGAGAGAAAACTCACTCACTTTCCTAGAGACTTTACTTGTGTTCTTTCTTGGTTTGCTCTTTTTTAAAAACAAAACAAAACACCAAAACCAAAACCAAAAGGTTATTTGGTACAGATTGTGAGGGGACAGTGCCCCCTCACTGACTCTCCGGGCTGCTCCTCCGGGCTGCTTCCCCTTCTTGAGTACTACTGTCCAGGACTGTAATTCTTTGGTGAGTATCTTTGTTTTGTAGAGTGCCTCACACAATGGGGTGCTGGTCCATTAATGGAGGGTCTATGTGCTACAATGATATGAAGAAGAGTGGAACAGCCCCTCTATCAGGCCAGTAATTGAGCCTGTGTCACTATAGAAAAAGTGGAAGAATGAATGAGACTTACAGGTGCTTAGAATTTATTTGTCAAAATATTTCAAAAGTTTATATTTCCGCTTCCTGCTTCATAGAAATCTACGGGGTTTATTTCATGGAGAAACAGAGAGAACAAAAAGAGGCTGGAATTTCAAAGGAGCCTAAGAGAGTTAGGTGCCAAAATTCTATTCAACTGGAGTTGGAGGCATAACTACCATTACTTTTGGGGGACTCAATTTCCATTGAATGGGATCTGGGTGCATACTTCTTTAGGCTCTCAAACAAAATGAGTTGACCACATTTACACATAGAGTCTCGGTGGGAGTTATGAACAGATCTCTGCTCTTTGCAGCAGAAGATACCTAAGCAACCAATGAACAGTCCTGGATGTTAGAACATCTTCTCCCCAAAGTTCTCCTCAGAGCCCCCTTCACCTCCTCGTTCCTAAGGCTGTAGATAATGGGGTTCAGTGTGGGCGTGAGGACAATGTATAACAGAGCAGATACTCTGTCACTGTCCCCTCCATAACTCGCCTTGGGTCGGAAATAGATAAAGCTGCCAGAGCCGAAGAACATAGTCACCACCACCAGATGAGAGGAGCAGGTGGAGAAGGCTTTGCGCCTGCCTTCAGCAGAAGACATCTTGAGGATGGTGACCATGATGTGGGCATAAGACACGAGGATCAGCAGGAAGGGGGCCATGACTACCAGCACGGCCACCACAAATATCTCCACTTCATTCGAGTAGGTATCGGTGCAGGCCAGCCTCAACAGAGGGGGGATGTCGCAGAAGAAGTGGTGGATCTCTTTGGGCCCACAGAAGGGCAGGCTGAATATCAGCGTGGTCTGCCCAAAGGAGACGGGGATGCCTGCAACATAGGACCCGGCCACCAGCAGAACGCAGACTCTGTTGCTCATGACGGCAGTGTAACGTAGTGGATGGGAGATGGCCATGTAGCGGTCATAAGCCATGGCTGCCAGGAGGTAGCACTCTGCTGTGGCGAAGAACAGATAGAAATACAGCTGAGTGGCACAGCCAGTGAAGGAAATGCTCTTCTTCTCTGCCAGCAGGTTGGCCAGCATCTTGGGGATGGTGACGGAGGTGTAGCAGATCTCCAGGAAGGACAGGTTCCGGAGGAAGAAATACATGGGGGTGTGGAGGGACCGGTCCAGTGTTGTGATAAGCATAATGAGGATGTTCCCCATCAGTGTGATAGTGAAGGAGGTCAGCACCAGCACAAAGAGCAACACCTGCATCTCCGAGAGGCTGGAGAATCCCAGGAGGATGAAATATGTCACTACAGTGTGGTTTCTGCCTGGCATCTCTTCAAGGTCCTTCACTGGCAGATGTGGGGAAGTTATCTAGATAATAGAGAGGAACAATAGATGTATTAGCTACCAAATACTGCTTCATTCTTTCATAGATTCTAGTCTGACTTCCTGCATATCACAGCCCAGAGAAACTCCCCAAAATTATTTCTGTTGCAACAGCTTCAAAAATATTTTTACAAAAACAGCCTGTCTTTATTTAAAAGCTTGCCAGTGATGGAAAATCCACCACAGTGCTTGGTAATTAGTTCCAATCCACACCTTATTTCCAGTCTGAACTCGTCTTGCTTCAGCTTCCATATCCAAATGTCTGGTTAGATAGAAAACAATTTATCTCCATCGGCTTTCTTCTCTCATCTATTTCCTTTTCCTATTGAAATGTATCCTTGAGCAATATTTATCCCCATCAATATGTATCAATCTGCCTACCCAGATGCACACTGTTATGGGTTAAACCTTATTGAAGCTAGTGGCTGTAATAGCCACGTTGCATTCAAGATAAATATATTAAAAAGTTGAGCTCCTTTATGGAATAGACAGCTGAAACAATAGAGGCCTCTCCCCAAAACAAAGCCATATGCAAGGCTGGTGAAGGAGTTAGCCAGGCAGCCCAAGGGTTGGGGGTTCCACTGTGATCCAATACTAAAGTGAGGGGTGGGGTATGGGTTGGATTGGAGCAGTGTATCTGTGCATATGAGACAGAGGTTGTGAGAAACATCACAGAAACAAAGACCAAGAAGGCGCAGAAACCTAGGGAGACAGTGGAACAAGAAGTGAGTACAAAAAAAAGAAGAGAGCGAGAGAGAGAGAGAGCTTTTGGGCAGAGTGCTGGCTGGAAGCCAGTTTGGAACAGCTAGCAAAGAAACTGTCTCCTGTGTTTTGATTCCTTCTTTGTTCAGGGAAACAGGACTTTGTATACAGGACTGCACCAAAGAAAGATCTGACTCCAATACTGATTTCTGTTCCAAATCAGGACAAACAAATTTTCGTTAATCACTTGGGTCCAAAATGGGTAATAAGCAGTACCCATCTCTCTCTTCCCATGGATGCTTGTCTATCTACATATATACTTTTCTCTCTATGAGCTTCTCTACACGGCAAGTTAGTGCATGGCAAGCCAGGGTGTGAATCTAATGCTCACCAGCTTGCTGTGCGGTAACTCAATAGGTTGACCCTGCTACACGGCACTAAATGTTCCCATAGTGCATTTTGACATCCTCCCATTTGCAATGGGAAACTTTCAGTGCACTGTGGCAGGATGCACCAGGCAAGTTACTGCTTGGCATGCTAGTAAGCAGGAAATTCACACCCTGGCTTAACACACACTCACTCGCAGTGTAGACAAGTCTTATTTATCTCTCTAGATAGCTGTTTATGTTGCATGATTGTCATAAACAGATAGTTAAGGGTTAATGCCTCTTTTACCTGTAAAGGGTTAAGAAGTTCACCTAGCCTAGCTGACACCTGACCAGAGGAATCAATGGGAGGACAAGATGGTTCAAAGGGAAGGAGGGAAGTTCCCTTTGTCTGGGTCAGTTTCACTTTTGACCGGAGGGAAAAGCTCCAGAATTCAGCCTCTTATCAAGTAGTGAGTATTAGTGAAGGAAATAAATAGGTTTATGTTTATTTCTTTGTGACCTGTCTTGTGCAATTAGAGGAATCATCAGATTGGGTATTTGGGTATTTTTTATGTAACTAAGTTTTGCCCATGGGAACATCCTCTGTGTTTGGAATCTGTTGTCTGTGAGAGTAGCTGGTATGCTAATCTCTCCCAGAGGGTTTTCTTTTACTTTTCTTTTCTTTAATTAAAAGCCTTTATTTTATACCTGATTGATTTTTCCTTGTTTTTAGATCCAAGGGGGTTGGATCTGGATCCACCAGGAGTTGGTGGGAGAAAGGAGGGGGGATGGTTAATTTCTCCTTGTTTTTAGATCCAAGGGATTTGGATCTGTGTTCACCAGGGAATTGGTGAAGAGTCTCTCAAGGCTACCCAGGGAAGGGAATTAGTGCTTGGGAGTGGTGGCAGCCAGACCAGATCTAAGCTGTTAATTGAGCTTAGAGCTTCTCATGCAGGTCCCCCACATCTGTACCCTAAACTTCAGAGCGGGGAAGGAACCTTGACAATCATCATCTCTCTTTCTCAGCACAGATGAATCAACCGCAATTTAATTTTTGTTGTACCAACAACAGGCTGATATGAAAAGAGCCATTCTGTTCAGCCAAGTTGGAGTTCTCCGAACATTGATTTGTTAAGAGAGCTCTATTCGCCAGGTATTGTAGACAGTGTATTTCTCCCAGTCTTCTTGCCATCTGTCCTGGTTTGGCTGCTCTCCAACTCTGCATCGTCCCTCTTCCCCCAATCCAGGACTGCAGTGAAATGGAGAGTGACCATAGAGGCGAAGTGAAACCAAAAAGGTGACTGCAGCCTGAGTCAGCTGCTCATTTAGAAAATAAAAAAGGACAGGAAGGGTCTGTAGGACAGTGATTTTCAACCTTTTTTCATTTGCAGACCCCTAATGGAGATGCAGAACTCTTTGGAAATCTCAGACATAGTCTGCAGACCCTCAGGGGTCCGTGGACCACAGGCTGAAAGCCACTATTGTATGGTAACAATCTTTCACTGACCCCTTAGACATATTCAGTGGACCCACAGGGATCCAAGGAATACAGATTGAAAACCACTGATTTAGGAGATATAGGTTTGGCAGTATTTAACTTTTTTATGGATAATTTTGATGGATAATATCAATGCTTATTTTCCAACTTTTTTCATTTTTATCCATTAAAATGTTTTGCAGTTGTGGGAAATTATTGGGGTGTGTGTCAGACACTAATTATTTAATGACAGTTGCTGAGATTCAAGATGTTAAAGCTTCATAACTGTTAAAATACAAATTGGCAACATTATGTCAAAAATATACAAAATAAATAGCTTCAAATGAGTTAATGAGTTCCCAAGCAGCGTTGTTTTTATTTTGCCAAGCTATAAATGTTGATTATCAACGATGGAAATATTTTCCTGGCATGTGTTTGATGAAATCGACATTTACCAATATAATCAAATCCTTCCATGCCTACATGTATGGAAATAGGTAACATCCCATGTGAGCACCACTTAATAGCTCACAGCTATTTAAAGGGATAGCACCCGATACCTATACACTATCCCCTTTCTCTGGGCACATCCTGAAAAACTTCTGCAGGTCACTCATGACTTCTCTCTCACACGCAGCCCTCCTCTCTCTCCCTTAATGCTGCACTTGTACAAACACAAAAACTCACTCACCTACTCTGTCCCACGTGCACCTCTCTGAGGGGTGCCGGGAGTTCACCTCCACCAGGTAACACATGTTAAAGGCAGTGTGCCCTATCTAGAGTAGATTTGCTACTAACATCAGCCCTTCAATCCAACCTGGACAAAGCCACATTTTCTGTCTCTCACACACCCCCATGTTCTCTCTCTCTCCAGGTACCTCTGTGCTGGCAACAAAAGGTGACTCTTGAAAATGTGACAGCTGCAGCATTTTAAAATCTTAGTGATCAAGGGCAAGTTGAAACTTTAAGATGCAATAGCTGGTGTCACAATTCAGGGCAACTGTATTTATTCCCCCTCTGCGATCCCTTGAGGGCACCAGGGGCGGCTCTATGTCTTTTGCCGCCCCAAGCACGGCAGTCAGGCGGCTTTTGGCGGTGCGCCTGTGGGCGGTCCGCTGGTCACGCCGATTCAGCGGCGTGCCTGCTGGAGGTCCGCCGATGCCATGCCTTCGGCGTCCCCGCCACCGAATTACCGCAGAATCCGTGGGACCGGCGGACCACCCGCAGGCACGCCACCGAAGGCGGCCTCACTACCGCCCTCACAGCGACCAAGAGGTCGCCCCCCGCGGCTTGCCGCCCCAGGCACGTGCTTGCTGCGCTGGTGCCTGGAGCCGGCCCTGGAGGTCACCCACTCTAGGATCCGGAGCCATCCCTTCTCTGGGGCAGAGAGCCATGTCTCACTCCTGCCCAAGTGGGGGATTTCCAGGCTGCACAGTTCCCTGCCTACACTGTGGTCTCTCCAGCCATTCAGACTGCCTCAGCTGCCCAGCGTCTGCCCTTTGCTTTCTGTTTGAAGGAGCACATTTATTCCTAAGAAAAAAGCTTGCAGAGAAAACATATTAAAAATGATTCGTGTTCCCATATACATGTTAAAAGCTTACAGTCTTGGGGAGCTGATAAAGTCCTTCCCTCCCCACCCCCACCCCCAGGCAGGCTTGGGGTCCCCCCTTGGACAGAAGGTGCTGTCCAGTTGCTGGATCAGAAGGAAGGTCCCTAGTCAGTTTAAACTCAGGTTATTTATCCAAAAGTCTTTTCTGTGTCTGTTGGCGTCTGGAGAAAATTTGCTTAATCAGCCCCCACCATTCTTAGTTCCTGGAGAACTGTGGTCCCCCTCCCGCATTGAATTACAGACAGTCCCCAGCCCACAATGATACATGAACTGAATGTAGTAAGATCTCTCAAAGATAGTGCAGGAAATTGCCCTGTCTCTCACAGCTGGCTATTGATAGTCATTATGACAATGAGCAGTCATTGGGCTACAGGACAAGCATGGGAATGATTCCGCTGTCTTGCCAAAAATGAACTGACCTAGCGGGTGTAAGACCCAAGTTGAAGCCTGTGAAAAGCACTTTAGTGATATACCAAGGAACAGCTTCAAGAGGAAAGATTAAAAGAGCTTTGCTTAGGGTTACCCCGTAGCTCTGCGGTTAAGGGTAGTCTGCTGTAATATGGGCAGAACCCCGGTTCAAATCCAGCTTCCCTATCAAGTACAAAGAACAATTGAATCTGCTGTTTCTTATCCCAGCTAAGCACTGAACCAGTGGGCTAAAAATTATCGAAAGACCTTTCCCTCCCCTTGGATTTGAGGGAAATTTCAGAACTGCCAACGAACTTAAAAATCGGTCATTCCCCCAGCTCAATAGCCTTCGTACCCTCCCCGAGCTCCTTATTAGGGAGAT